ACCTCATGATCTGCCCGCCTCGGCCTCCCAAAGTGCTGGGATTACAGGTGTGAGCTACTGTGCCAGGCCCAGGAAGATTATTTTGGGGCTGAACATAAAGTTTTGATTCAACTTGAGATGACTGGCTGGTGATGCCCAGTAGATGGTTATTATTTTCCTATCAGCTCTATTGGCTATGGAGAATTGAGCCACATGAACCAAGGAACTAATTCAGTGTAGAAAATCTAATGGCTTTAAAAACAGCTGTGGCAGTGACTGTACTAGAGATCTAACTTCTTGGGAAAGTTTCCCAACCCACAGCCTCAAAGAGACAACATATCATATGTACCATGTGACTCTAACCTCTTGGCCACAACTGAGGGCAACAGAGATAGCATCTGACTCAAATTGGACCAATCAGATTCTCTCTCAAGAGACTCAGGCATTGGAGCCCAGTGACTGAGTCAGTTCTCTGTGGGGAGTCAAGCTTGAAGTTCACATCAATCAATGGTTTTCAAAGTGTAGTTCCCAGATCATTAGAATCAACTATCTGAGAACATGTTAGAAATGCAAATTCTCATAGTTCATACAATAGCTGCCTAATCAGAAATTGTGGGGTGGGTCTCCAGCAATCTTTGTTTCATAAACCTTGCAGGTGCTTCTCAGGTTGGCTATCATTCGTGAAGACTCTTGGTACAAGCCTACCATTCTGGGAGTAGTCCTGATCAATTACTGATAAGTTATTATCAGTGCTTATAAGTAAGCAGAGAAAGCTGGTTTGCACACAGAAGCAGGAGAATAGAGCAGAGAGATACAGACAGACAGACACAGAGAGATCAAGACAGGGAGAAAGAGAGGTGAGAAACAAGCCATCTGATAACTTTTCAATTTCATGAGGCCCAGTTGTTCTTCCTGCAGCTGGAAACTGAAATTTTTCTTTATCATTACACGAATCCCTTTTATTTGAATGGATTTTCTTTCTTCTTTACAATAAAAGTGCCCTGACTTGTTAGTTATTTCTCCCCCAAGTTTTTATTGCAGTTGTACTGTATGGCTACTGTTCCAAGTATCATAGAGGATACTAAAATCAACGAGACCCGGTTCTTGCTCTTGAGAAGCCAGATTTAATGAAGGAGGCACAGAGACAATGTTAGAAGCACTATAGAGGATGTGGTAATTGAGCTTTGAGATCACCTGGTAAGCACTAAAGAAATATTAGCTGCATCTCAGTGTAGCAGGTAAGACCAGAGAAGACCTCAAGGGAGTGCTAGTTGATACATACGTATGTACTAGTCCATCCTCATGCTGCTAATAAAGACATACCTGAGATAGGGCAATTTGTAAAAGGAAGGTTTAATGAACTCACAGTTCCACATGGCTGGGGAGGTCTCACAATCATGACAGACAGTGGAGGAGGAGCAAAGTACATCTTACATGGCAGCAAGCAAGAGAGCATGTGCAGGGGAAGTGCTCTTTATAAAACCATCATATCTCGTGAGATTTATTCACTATCACAAGAATAGCACAGGAAAAACCCACCCCCAGTGATTCAATTACCTCCCACTGGGTCCCTCCCAGGACATGTGGGGATTATGGGAGCTACAATTTAAGATGAGATTTGGGTGGGGACACAGTCAAACCATGTCAACATAGGATGGGTTTGCAAAGAAGAGGAAGAAGAAGAAGAAAAGGTGTTTCAAGTTGAGATGAAAAGACATGGGAACCCATGGTGTGTATCTGGGAAACAGAGAGTGGTGTAAGGGCAGACACAAGTTAAAAATAAGAAGCTTAATTCTCCCTGTTGAACATAAGGGAAGAGATTTCTTTCTACACTACCCCTTTCCCTTTTCTTTTAAAATTTCTTTCTCTGTCCTTTGCAAGTCTTTTTTATGCAAATCTTTTAAATGGCTAAATAAGTAAGCCTTTCTCCCAGTGTTACAACTCCTAGGAGCTATCTTTTTGAAATGCAAACATCAAGGGAGGTAGCATCCCTATCTCCCAGTTCCCATAGGAGGGTAAGAGCCTAACTTTCATGGGCCTTGCTCCAGTTTGCAAAACTACCTCCTGCTTAAAATATATGAGAAAATTTCTTTCTTCTTCAGATAAAGCCAACACAAGTGACTTCTCCAATTATCACCGTAAAGTTAGGACAAAATTTTGTGTGACAAAAGCTGCTCTAAAATCCTCTTGGTCAAGGACTAGTCATTACTTAAATTGGGAACATACATGTAATGGGTTGTATCTGCTTGGCTATATTAGGGGGTGAGATTCCTTTCTGTCTTTGCATTCTCTTAGCAAGTTACCTGCGATGTACATCACATTCTGGTTTAATATTTATTCAATAGTAAGAGTGTTTTCTTTCTTTACTACCTTTCTGGAGAAGATTTCTGGATTGGGAGAAGATCTCTTGTTTTATTACATTTTCCCAACAGTGCTTTAACTTGCCTGGAATGTACAGTGATGAAGTTATTCCTTGATCAAACTTTAGTCAGATTCTTCTGAGTCCTCTTCCCAACTTGGCCTCAATGTTTACACTTCCATGTTTGTCTTCGCATTGCTCAATTTTAGCAAGAATCTTGCCAAGTTGGTTTAGCCAAAAGCCCACCCTTGATATCTGATCAGGTTTCTCATCCTCTACCGACTCCCAGATGATGTCTTTTCACCCTGACCTGTCTTCAGCAAGAATCCTGTTAGGTCAGGTTAGCCGGAATCCATCCCCCCGATCCTCCGCGTCCCCACCCTGCCCCTTATCTCTGATGCTTCCTCTTAGTAATCTTCCATCCACTGTCCCCTACTCTACTCCTTGGCTATAAATTCCCATTTTTCCTTGTATTTAAAATTGAACCCCATTCAATACTGAGGTCTCTTTTCCCATATGGCAATAGTCCTGAATAAAATCTGTTTTTACTGTTTGAACCACTGTTCACCTCTGGCTTGCTTTTGTAACACATTACAGGAGGCAGAGGGGAAAGGTAAAGGGCACGCCCAAGGCCAGAGCACGAAAGAGTGCTATGTCAGAGTGTAGACTATTCCATAGACATTGAGGACCTGTGAAGATTTTAATCAGGAATCGAAATAATCCACCACTTGACTTTAGGCAAATGACTCTGGCAGTAATGTGGAGGATAGAGCAGAAAGGAGAAGGGTCAAATGGCATAGCACTGAATGCATTCACAATCATAAATTTCCAATTATTTTTTTAGTCAGTTATTACCAAAAAAGTTATTCTTGGACTGACTTTTCCCTAAGCCACCCTAACAATATCTAGAGCTGTATTTTTTTTCCCCCACAGGAACATTTCTCCAGAATGTGGAGAGTAGAGGACGACATGTCGGGATGTCTGACACTCCTTGGATATTGTTCCTATGTGGTTTGGGTGTTCCTATGGCTCCAGAATTTCATCCCAGTGACACTGAGATTCCAGGCATCTTTAGCATTTCTGATGGTGTCCATCAGAAGAAAGAGTTGCTTATTAGAGTGTTCTCTACCACTGGCTTGTAGCTCAGTTTATGGTAAACACTTGCTTATCACTGAGGTTTTGTATATGAATTGTGAAAATGGGGTGTGATTGTTAGAACGAAAGCCGCTTGGCTTTCATTGGCAGCCCCTTCTGTGAGCCCCAAATTATGACCATTGTTTGCATGGATTCTTATGGGTGCAAGTTTTCCTAGTTTAACTACCCGTAAGTGACTTTAACTTGGGTCTTTGTTCATAGAGATTGAGAAGAACTGAAACACTTTGAACAAACTACACACACATTTATTAAATAGTTAAATGGTTAACAAAGGCACATCAATAACCACTTACTATATATATAGAAATATATATAATTAACACGGATACAATTATAACTGCCATTTTTTCCAAAAAAGAGTCATTCAATTCATGTCATGAAGGTTAAAGGCAAAGTCTTAGTCCCCATCTTATGCTTTCCCACCCTCTTCTTGAGAACTACATTGAACCTCTATGAGTTGATCATCATCTTCTGTAGCCATAAGGTCTCTACAAGCATGCTGACTACAGGCTCCTCAGATTCTTTCTCCATTCCCTCAAGTCCAGTTTTTAATGAACAGGCTGTCTGCTTTAGCAGGTGCTATTGCTGGTATTCATCCAGTTACACTATGATTCTTTAAAAATCAATCTTTCCTTGTACTTGTACATGCCCGCATTGCATTGCATCACTTATGATGAGAGAGCTCCCTCTCTCATCAGGAAAACTGGATTTGTATGTCTATGTCTGTTGTACTTTGCACCGGATGCCCTGCCTGCCTTTTCACTGTGTTCTTTCCATACACAACAGAAAAATGCTGGGCTACACTGACCAGAACTGCCATTGTATATGAATTTCTGCATCCCCTTTTATGCTGTGCTTTTGCTTTGGACATGTTTGTACAGAAGGGAATCAGATAGTCTGTCCCTCTCACAAAGCTCACCCTATTTCCTGGTGGCTGTCCTTTGTATCCAAAATCTCTGTTTGGAGCTCTTGGTTTTTACTCCACAGACACCCACTGTCCTCCTGCCTAAGGGAGTAGTGTAAGTCAGGCACTGAACAGAAAAGCCAGGAAAGTTTAGTTAAATGTGCATTTCCAGTACAGGAAAGAGCCAAGTAGAAAATCAGAGAGTGCGTGTCCATCTGTTAAAGTTTAACAAATATAGGCTTTAAATTACTCCAGAATTATAATCATACCTCAGGCCTGTCACTGTATCATGCCCTCTACAGATGATGACCATGGGAGTGGATTCTGGTCAGTGGAATTTTAGGATGTTCACTATCTAGTCAGTATTTTAGGTTTATTATCATATCATAACTTTCCTGATAATAACAAAGTTACAAGAGTCTTCATTTTTTGGCCTTCCTGGGGTGGTGAATGACTGCATTGCTTATAGGAATTCCATCTCTGCACCTAAACACTGAGATTCAATGCCTAGAAGTTTGCTTAAGTAAAACATATTCCCTTATCTATGCATGTAGGTGTCTGATATTTGCCCATTGGAAAGTCATGCCTTTTTAAATGTGAACACTTTCAGGACAGGCAGCACATTAAGTATGGCCATTCTTGAACACCATAGGGTAATTTGTCTCTTAGATCTCAACTATGAGCAGCTCTCCATAGTCTGAGAAGCCCAACAGGAAAGTACTTAAGGGGAAAAGTCCAGATCTATCAGAGGAAGCAGGCCTGATAAGTTGCTATCTTGAGGATTTTCCTGGGCCAGAGGCCACCATGAGGGATGAGAAAAGGATGCTGTGAAAAGAATTTGAAAAGTACCCAAGACAAACTTGGTTTACATCTGGTTTTGCCTGTGGGTCAACTTTCTTCCAGCCAATAGAAACTCCAAGTCTCCACTTTGATGATGGTCGGGAATGCTTGCCCTGAATTCTTACCTAACATTCAGCAGCCCCAAAGAGAAAGACATTAACTGAATTCTGAAGAGGCCTAAGACCTCTTGTAAATGTCTATATACTGAACTGGTTTTAGTGCTGGTATTATCAGACTCACAGAAACACCTACAAAACATTAAACGGCTCAAAGTTGGCTTATCAAGAAATGCCATTGTGGGAACCACCTTAGAAATAGTAAAACCCAACCTCCTCCCTGACCCTCTTCACTGTTAAATGACACATCAGTAATACTTTGCTCTGCCACAGCCTCTGACCTAAACTCTGTTCACCCCAGTTTTCTATCAGCCCGACTCCAGGACAGTGGTCAATGCAGAGAAGTTCCAGATTCGCATTTTTGAAGCATTTTGAAATAAGGCAGAATAAAATATTACCAAATTACATTTACTTTCTTAAAGAACAAAAATGATCATCCTTTTATTACTGTGCCATTTGTTGAAGATAACCAATTTTAAGTGAGAGAAAACATTTTAATGGAAAAATGCATGCATCTCATTGTTATTAAATGATTGATACCCATCTGGAAAGTATGAAATAAACAACACTGGTTTCATATGTTACACTGGGGATGTAGGATAGACATGAATAACTGGGAAAGAGAAACTTCTAATAATGTATCTCAGAATATGCCTTAGGATTTCTGAGGCACAAGAGAAACTAGTAAGCATTCTCTCAAAATTTTAAGTTTTCTTTTATTAAAACAGAAGTGTCTTTCTTGTGTTAGTAACTTCAATCTTATAGGAGTAATAGGCCTAACAAAATGGATATATTATCTACATAATTCAAAATACTGATGGTATATTTGGAAATAAATTTACTTTATGTATGAAATATAACATTGAGCCAAATCAGAAATTTAAATTTCATTTTAGAATTACTAAATATTAGCATTAATATACTAGAACATGAATAGCCTTCAAGTGAACTCCTAATGTGTGAATATGGATTCATAAAAAAAGACATAACCAAGAAGTTTACGCAGTTTATTAAAAGAACAAAAAATAAACAAGGAAGTAGCATACTAAAATGAGCTGCATAATGTGCACTTTTAAACATAAACAAGCACTATAGCACTATAACTTGAAAAAAAATCAAAGTGTCTGCAGTTGAGGGAATGAGCTATTGCATTTTGGAGTAAAAATACTATGGGAAGAGTTGGTACTCATGAAATATTCTGGTCATTATTTAAATACGTTACACAGGGCTAATAATTTTTTTATATGTATTTTTAATTGCGATTTTCCACCCAAATTATATGCCTCCATTTTTCACATTATTCCAAATTCTTGTTATATGAATGCACAAAGTTAGCCCTTTAAAAAACAATATATTTAGGAAAATCCTTCAAAAGTTTTTTAATTTAAATGCTTGTAATTTGGGAGCATGGGGACAAATGGCTCATTTTCTGTTAAAGCAGCAACAATAATAAAAAGAAACTTATTTTGAAAAGGGCATTCATTCCCATAATCCAGTGATATGATGGTCATATCATTCTCTCAACTGCTAGACACAAAAGACAGCAACAAAATAATTTGTTTCCATCACTAACAAATAGCATCTCTACACAGAAATAAAGCTCCGGAACCATGCAGTTTTATGACAGATAAATCTTTAGGTTGTGTGTTTTCAGCGAAAAAAAGCACTGCTTAATAGTTGGGTTACTTTTAGGTCTTGTTACAGAGGTATTTTTTAAAAAACTAATATGATGTAGATGCCTAGCAAGGATTTTGCAATATCTGCAAAGAGCTGCGACTTATTTCATAGTGATACATTTTTTTTTACATATACCATAATTGTGGATGGATTATATTTAAAGACAAAATTTCTCTTCAGTAATCCAGCTTTTGAGTATTAGTGATTCTCTTATAGGCAAGAACAAGTAGAAGGGCTGGAAACCGCACAAATTAGTCAAACTAAATACTTTCTTGAGGTTAGTAATAGAGGGCTTTTTTTTTTTTCTTGGCCTCAGTTACATCCATTTGTTATACTTAATTCCCTAATTTGTCTTACTTATTGAAACACAGCCTCTATGTTGAAACTCCAGAGTATGACCCTGTGGCTGTCAGCATGCACACCATGCCATCTATACATGGGGTATCTTTTGTGATGCTTCTACAGTTATTCCTACTAATTTATAGGTGATTTTTCCTGACTTAAAATGTCATATCTCTATTGACCTTAGAAAAATACATTCTTGAATCTGGCAGATTCACAAAGAAATGTCCGTATCAGTACATAGGTTAACTTGGGAAATTATGTTGAAGATAGGGCTGAAGTTGGAATTCCTAACTACAGAATGAAGGAATGCTTACATTTTATATCAATGGAAATGCTGGTCAGATTGTCAGGCTGTTTGTTGTATGGCTAACTCTAAGTGATTATGGGCTGAGGGAAAAGAAAATTCTAGCCAACTGGCCCTGAGGTATTGGACAACTGTAAGGCTTGGATTGCTTTCTGGCTTTGGCTTATTTTTCTTTCTCTGTAAGTGACAACTATCAAAACGAGTAGCAATACCAACTCCACCAACCCCAGGATGGGCTCCTTCTCTAGGTACTCAAAGTACCTGTGGTGATCAAATGCTTAACCTTTCTAACCTTGACCTCTTCAAGGGCCTCATTGCCTGGGGCAAAAAGAAAGTTAACTGGCTATCTGTAGGTGGTGTGGGAGCTAAAATTGGCAGAGATGGTCAGATTGAAACATTCTCTTCCAGCTCCTGTGTTATGTAAGATTTTGGCTGGTTCTCTTCTGTTTAGTTAAAACAAAACAGTGGGAGGCTGAAGTGGCACAGTTAAGTACTTTGTAATCTGGTAAAGGTAGGTCAGAAAACAGCTTCCACTGAACAGGCATAATGTAAATAAAGTCAGTTATAAAGTTGTGCCAGCAGCATTTTTTTTTTTCCCTTTATTGAAGGGAATGAACTGCCCTACGCTGGCCATCCTTAACTGTTAAATATCATCTTTCAATGGTTACCGATTTGGTTTTGGTTACTGGATCTTAAAGGAGGAACAGTGGTCAACATTAACAATTTGTCACTTAAATAACTATTAATTGATAAACGTTTTAACTGACACATATATCAGCTGATCACTTTCTGTGAAAGACGAAATCTGATTCTATCATAAAGGTAATATCTATCGTGTAATATATGAGGTATTTCACTGCTTGCAACCACTGAAAAGGGAAAACTTGTTCTAGAAACTGCCTGGTGTGTGTGTGTGTGTGTGTGTGTGTGTGTGTGTGTGTGTGTGTGTGTGTGTGTGTGTGTTTATAGTGGGGATTAATTTAAAAAGCAAACAATCTTTGCTAATGATCTTGTTAAAAGATGAAATTATTCTACTCTTGTTCAATGCTGTTAGCTGAGGCTGACCTGTTACCTGTTACTAGCCTTCTCTTTTGGTGACCTGTAGCAAACTAGAAAGCCTCCATAACAGCAAAGCAACATTATGCTTTAGTTAAGTCTTAGAGCAAAAACACCGTCCTTTTCAAAGCCTTAGAAATAACTCTCTCTTACTAACTTTTCCACTATTATCACAGACTTCTCACATTTAAAAAAAGCTCCAAGGATTGCTTTCATGGACTATGTACATTAAGTGCAAAAAAGGTGTGTCTCACACATCCGCACCCTAACTGAGACAGTCAATTAACTGCAGCATATGTTTCTTAAACACTGTTAAGGGGTCATTCCACAGTATCTTTACGTATAGTTTTAAAAATATGAATTAATTTCAAAAGAGGCTTTAGTCATGCTTTAATCCTCATATAGCTATATTTGCTTATGTAATTTCAGAAAACAGAATTTTTGCAGCTACAGCTATGCCACTTGAATAGGGTAATTTTGAATAAAGTTACAAAAAAGTTAGGTAATGTATTAAAAATGCAATGATTGTGTTTTTAAGTCTAAATACTGTGGAATAACCCTATCCACACAACAAATTCTATAAACTATAAAGCCTGATTCTCGAATCCATGTGTTACAAACTTTTTCACAAAAAGTCACACAAGGACACAAATTCAGCTTTTATATATGGGCCTTTGGGTTTAAAAAATAACTCAACCATGTCTGTTTTCATAGTTTTGAGCTGTATTTTCTACATGCTCATACTGTCACAAATCACCTATAGTTTACAAGTAAAATGTTCACATACACAAATGTCTAAAGGTAGCCATGTTGTAATTTTGTTGCCAATGCAACAACTAAATATAATTAGATAACAATTATTATTTGTATATAAAGTTAAATTTGTTCTTAAATTGTGAACTGTAAAGGATAGTTTTGGACTATAATCTGTATCTTGTCATACTTCAGTGTCAGTTTAGAACCCTAGCTAGGCGGGCAGAATCCATGCAGTAAAAGCTTAAATTTTCTTTAACTTTACTTCGAAATTAAATTCATTAGTTACTTAGAGCTACAGAAAAGCAATAAAATAAAGCCTTAAAGATGAAAAATAAGAAAAATGAAAATATGGTACCAATTAGTGAGTTATATTTACAGTTTGATTAGGCTAGCAACTAAATTTACAGAAGAAGTTGTTATACACTTGGACATGCTATTTATTCTAGTGCCTTCTACAGGCACTGGTTAAACAAGGCTACTATCTTAGTATATCTATTCATCAGAAATGGGAAATCAGATTTCCCTCATAAATTTTGCCTATTTCTGTTTCAATGTGTGTGAAATGTATTTGAGAGAAAAATAATGAGGATTTCAGTTTCCAATCATTCTGTACCTCATAGCCTACCCTACAGACTAAAGGAACTCAGAAAACTTGTGGCTGCATTTTACCTAAGAGCATCCTTATCTATACTCTTCAAAGAGGTGGACAAAGAACCAAATAACATTTCAAGTAGCACATTAACGTTCTCTCTTATTTAAGAAAATGTAATGTAAATGTCATTCCTTATTCAGACATCACTATGCTTATTGGTAATGCTACTTAAAACAGATTCAAGTTGCAAAGATTAATTTCATTCGGTTTCTGCTGATGGTAGGGAGGAGGTACTTGCTTTTTCCCAAATTGGAGAGCAGGTGAGCTGAGGCCCTCCCATTAGTGAACACTGCCTAGTGGTATAGGACAACACTTATGGCAAGATCAAAGTGCTTCAGCATGTTCAAAAATGGATGAAGAAAACTGATGGGGTAGAGAGAAGATGACTTTCCACATCATGATTAACTACAAATTAAAGCCTCTGATCTAGATAAGTGAAATGAAATGCCACTGCTGGTTGTGGAATCATGCTCCAATTAAAAAAGTAAATACTGTATTTAAATAGCAATTTTATGAATCCATTTATTTTAATTTAATCTTAATCCCTCTTTAAAATATACGTATGTTATGGTCACGTAATACTTTTTTAAAAAGTTGACACTACTAAATCCCTCTTAAAGATAACTTTTAGATTATTTTCTCTGTATACATGACCCGTTTTATCCAAGTTTCAGCACTCTTGCATATGTTTTGCAAAAGGCTGAGAAAAATGGAAAAAAACAATAAATTTGGATAAATAGAGGCCCCTGTAAAATACAAAGCTTATAAAATGTTAACTAAGAATCATAAGTGATTAGAATTTTATATATACAATTCATCCAGTAAATTTTTGTTTAGAGTCACTGATTAGTTTTGTGACTTGTCTTTTTAAATGGAAATTTATAGTCTAATGACTTATCTTTCTTTTCTTTTCTTGAATAAAGATAATTTGAATAAGTCATTGCACATCTAGTTCAAAGAGTGCTATCCTAAAATTGTATTTTTTTCCTCAAAACTCTATTGAATTTGATCAAAACTTTAGGGCTTTGAGCTTTCTTTCTTTAAATTCATTTACAAAACAACTTTTAAAATGCCAACGATGTAGAAAATTGTGGCACCAAAAATACAATGGCCCTAAATATTCCTCACTGAACCTTTTACTTTAAAGTAAGTCATTGTTAATGTCTTCCAGTGCTTAACGCAACATGAAAACAGCTGTACTCTAGGTCTATTATCCATGGTTTATGTACGTCTTTGCCCAAAGTTGAAAAAGTTAAGTGAGATAGTTCACTGCATGCAGATGTCAAACTATACAAAAGTTCATTTTGCACAAAAAAGTTCTTGTCTCCTTTAAGAAATATATCCAGACTAGCTCAGGTGCATCCCTTCTGGATTCATGTAGTCAGATCCGCCCTTCTGGAGAGGCACTGGCACAGATCATACAAAACTCAGTTCCATACAGAAGGAATTTCAAAAAGGCATACACTACTTTCTTCTATAGCAATGTTAAGATTTAAGAAACAGAAATTAACTGGTTCAAAGAGTCCATAGGTAAAAGTCAGGACAACTCTTGATCTCTAATTCCACGCAACACTGTCAACAGCTGACAATGGCTCAATACAAGCAAGACTGTTTAGAAAGCACTGTTGATCAGGATTTGGATGGATAATTAAGATCAACAGAGCATCAATTCCCAGAAAGCTAATTTTGCTCTCTCGCATTCCGAGCCAAATGGGTCTGCTTTGGGAGAGAGCATCAAATGTTCTGAAGCACGAACAATGTGAAAAGGAGGAACAATGGGAAGCAGGAGATATTTCTAGTTCCCACAATGGCTAAGGTAGCCTTGGGCAAGTCATATGCCCCTGGATTCAGTTCCATCAACTATGAGAAGGATTTTGCTAACTCCATTGTTCTGTGATTCGAACACTTCTAGCCAGCTTAAGTTATCCTCAATCAGATTTGCTTTTTGTCATATTCATGAAAGAGAAAAACAATTATATATATATACACATATATATATGTATATATGTGATGGTTTTATACTTTCTGGTGGAAGAACACCTATTTACTAGAAAATACTAAATCTATTACTTGATGTAAAATCTCATGTTTCCACCACTGTATAATAACATTAATAACTGAGTAGAGTGGATGAGATATGTCACACACCACAGGAATTATTTGGTTGTAAAATTCTTTCATAAGTATTAATAATGTGAATTCAGCTGAGCTCTGTGGAGTATAGCCACTCTGTCTCATTCAAAGGGTGCTAAAACCCTCTCTATTGTCATTTTCAAACATACATAAAGGCAAACAAATCCAAACAAGCAAAAAAAGTCTTGGTTATGATGTGAGAGGGTCTGATGTTAAAGTTTGGGCAGGGGGACACTTGCCATATATCACAGGTGCTTTCTCCTTCACTGAACTGTTTAACAAAACGAAATTCAGTTGAACCGAAGCTAAAGACAACTACAACCATCTTTCCCAGTTCTTTTGAATAAATCAAGGAATAATTGTAAGTGCTTCCCTGTTCCCTGTCCTAGCCATTTCTCCAAGCCTGTACTCAGGCTCCCTCTGTGATCAATAGAGAAGACTGTCCATTTGGGGAGGAAAGTCGTTATTTGTAACCAATTCTCTTTCACCCTGACTGACTTTTGCTAGATTGCTTCTTACTTGTTATTCAAAGAGTAGCCTAAAGAGCATGAGCCATTTGCATTTGGAAAATGGCATTTGTGTAAAAGGTGACATTGCCATGGTTTTACACACTTTCCTCGAGTATGTAAGAACTATCTCCACGCCCCCATCTCTGTTTGATTTATAACTTGTAATTAGCATACTTTTAAGCTCCCAAGTACCAATTTCTGAGCTGAAGATGACAAAATGGCTGAGTTTTAGACACTCAACCTAGGAGATAGGATTCTCAAGCCACACACACAAAAAGTCTAATGGGCACTTTACATAATTTTTACTATAAATGCTGAGAAATTCATTTAAAGGTAAAGTCTTATTTTCCAAGCTATTTAAGAAGAGTGAAATAGGGGTTAATGTTTTATGAAGTTCTCTGCTTTGTGCAGGTAATTATTTCTCTCCTTAAAAAATCTAGCAATTTGATTGTATTATGCAACATCAGATCTGCAGGTACAAATTATACACATGCATGTTAATGAACAGGTTTTGTGCACATTCAAAAGTGAGGCGTTTTAAATGTCAGTCCCAAGAAACCTACAGAAATATTCTAAAGAAAGAGAGCATATTTGCATGAACCTGTCATGGTTTTAAGCACATATAGTTCTGTTCCCCACTAATAACACTTTAGTTGAAATCAAACACCATACATATATGGCAAAACACTACAGTATGTAAAAACCTAACACAGCACAACACAATACAAGAAATGGTACTGAATATATTTGTTACATCCTGAATCAAACCAATAGACTATCTTGTAAACAAAATAGTAAGGTAACACTTCAAAAACAGATGAACAATTTATCCACCAAGAATGTATATAGTAAGCCAACAGCTCACTGTGGAAATACACTTAGCATGGTTATTAGAAAATCACAAAGAGTAATGTAACAAGTTACCAAATTTTATGGTCATGTTCTGCTTGATAATTCAAATAGGATGGATGGTAGTTACTAGTTTTCTATTCGTGTTGTTTTAACATCTCCATTGATTTTTAATGCTTTATTTTTTATCTGAATTTGCTGGCTGGCAGGTTTGCTTTGCTTAATACATTGACTGCAACACGCTTATTGTTGTGTTGGTAGAATAAGACATACGAGAAAATATATAGAAAGGCCATATGGAGGTTTCCATGGAAAGATTCTGATACTCCATAACTCTGCTGTTCAGAATTTCAGCTGAAATGGAAAAAAAAAGAAAGAAAGAGTGAGAAATATTGAAAGGTTATTGAACAAAGAGTCAGGAGAATGTGGTGGGTCTTGTTCCAGTTCTGTCTGTTAACAGTGCCAAAATATCCCCAATGTGAATTGCATATTGAAATGGGGCTTTTGAGAATGATCATGAAAGAACCATGTATCTATGATAGTCTATGATACCCTTTGAGTGCTAATGTGGAGAACTGTCCTAACAGAGATGCACTCCAATGTTTAAGGCATTATTTATCTACTCAATGCCAATACTTTTTGTTGAGCGTACACTCATGTGTCCACCTTTCAACTGGCATGTACTGAGAAAACATGTTTGATACTGAACATTTTGAAATATGCAAATATTAAATACACTTTCAACTTTTTCTCTGAATGTTTTAGAGCCATGCAGTGATAGCCTACCTGTGAAATCTGGGTATTGTATTGTACAAAATTACATTTTTGAACTTTAGAGAAATTTTCAGCACCTATTACATATTGAAGTGATTATGCTCTGCCAAATACCTCTACATTTTCTAACGAAATCAAGCAAGAAGGAATCACTCTTCCCAAACATGCTCTGTTGGAAAGTTAATTTGACAACTTTTGTTTACCTTGATGTAAAGCAGCCCATGAAAGTTGGGCAAGTGTTGGCAAAACCTATATTATCATGTTTAGTGCTATTCCCAAGTTGCCACTATCCCAAATGACACCCCTGGATACAATTACAATTTACAGCTCCTTCAGTTATCCCATGTGCTCAAAGGTGCCTTTTAAAATCCTTCCTTATGATTGAGGGGACCTATTTATTAAATGTCCAGTTGGCTATCTGCTCTGTCCAGAACACTTAGTGTTCTAAGCCCATGTGTCCTCAGCAGGAAAGAAGGGCTAGCTGGGATCTGGGGAACTAGTTAACTAGGGAACAGAACTGCTCCCTCCTTCCACCAAATGACACACGCCAGGTGTGAGAACTTCAAACTTTCGACAACGAAGGTATGAAATTCAGAGTTGGTACACTATTTTAGTTAGTCCCTAGAATTAATTAAAATACCTAGGAGTCTTAAATGGCTTCAGAAGTCACATGTTCTTAAGTGAATGACTGCTCAAATGAACTGTGTGCCATGATGGGCACCAGGCAAAGAGGAGATTGAAGGTGAAGGAGAAAAAGAAAAATCCCACAACAACAAAAATTTTTAAAAAGAGACATGATTGGAATGAAAATAATGACTCAGTTACTAAATTATGTCACTCAAAATTCAATACAATGTCACGTGAGAGGCATAGTGCTTACTGTGTTTAACATAATCATATCAGTCAAATTCTGAAAATTCTTGTTTGATCTCCAAAAATAATGAAGCTATAAAGTGGTTAAAGAATTACAATTCAAAAGTAATCTGTGCCTCTATCTAACAAATCATATATTCCTTTAATAACAGGAAAACATTTAAGAATGTGTTAGCTCATTGAGAAAATACAGTACCAGCTGTCATTGCCATATAAAAGATACTGCATATTTGCGCTCACATTTCAATTTGGAAAATTTATAATGTGTAAATCAAGCTCTACGTCACAAGCAATGTCTATGAATGAAAATATTTACCAAAGCCTTTTAGCAAGTGTAATTGTGTAAATAAAATATGTAGCCTATAAATATTATTTATATTAATACTTAAAGAAACTTACTGTTCTACTGGGAACTTCTACATCTGTGAAACAAACATGCTGCTATTCAGTTCATCTATTGATAACTGGGGTATCTATAGTAGTAAAAAAGATTTTAGATTAAAATAGTTTCTTAAGAGAATTCTGTTTATGTTGTTATATATGTGGAACTTTTTGTCTATAAGCATGGTTCCCACTTTAATAAAGCAAAATGGCCCTAATATTATACAATAATTATCATATGTATCTCCTTATAATTTCAAGACTCCCCCCAAACTTATAATTTGCCTTGTGAACTCTGCCTAAAAATACCTAAAGCAAATAAAAATCAAAACGACAAGCACATCTAATGTCCATATGAGAAGGAACTTCTGATATAATCACTGGGAAATGATAAAGATATCCATGTCTTGGAAAGAAATGTGATATTTTGTTTTCTCTCCAGTGGATCTGAAGGTAAAGGTGATGACTGTACTAAGCCAAAGTTTAAACACAATAATAAAAAATGGCAGTAAAATAAATTCTCTTGACCAATGAGGAAGCATTTAAGTAATATTAAGTATATACATTTGAGGATTGGTATGTTACCAGTAATTAAATATAGAATATCAAGAGCAACATCTGGTAACCAATTAAAAATGAGCAAAACTCCTCTGATTCATCTTGAGATGAATAGCAAAGCACATATAGCACTCTAGAATATACACAAAAATAAAAATTCTAAATGTAACAATGGCTTAGAAACACATAAGAATCTCACCAATCCAAAAAGCATATACTGTGCATTACCAAAACATTTTAGTTATCTCTATCTGAACAGCTGAAATAAATGGCCAAACCTGATTGCCTGTAGTTGGTGCAGCGAAGGGAACGCTGGTGGCAGGTGTTGTTGCTGCAGACACAGTGGTAGGTGTAGCACCGTGCATCATGGGCACTTTCAGTTGAAAACCATAGAAGCAACACACAGGAGGGTAGAGGATTTATGCAACCATGACATTTATGATGGAATGAGGTGTGGTAGGTATCACAGCAGCAAGCCATGTGACATCATAATGACGAATACATCAGGGTGTTCATGCAATCACAGTCAGTGCAAAGCAACACAGCATGGAAGGGGGTAAAATTAAAAAGAGAAAAGGGGAAAGCCAATTATATTTACCAATATGGAAAATGGAACCATTCTCAACATTTAGTAAGGTTTTGAGCAGAATCCCATTGCAGTTTACTCAAAAGGCTAAATTTTCAGAAGGGGCTATAATGAATGCATATGAAAACAAAAATCCAATGTTACAAGAGCTATCTATCTGAAGCTAGTTAAGCAGACAAGTAACTGGATTGCGCATTCAAAATGGAATTAAGGAATCATACATTGGAATTTAGGTTCACTGACTTATGGACATGAATGCCGTCACTAGATCTGCAGGTGCAAATGGACAGTTATATGTATACTTACCCGATCTGTATGCAAAGACATGGTAGGTAGACTGGTTGGTGTGTGGTAGGGGGGCAGATATGAAGAATACAGTGAACTATGCATGCAGGTTTTTAAGTACGCCTCTGGCAAACTCCTGGGAAAGTTTGGCCATTTATCAAATAAATACATGGAGTACTTCATAGTAAATCTTGTCTTCATAGCAACTATTATAGCTACAATGGTTAGCAGCTGTGAAATCTCTTGCAGGACGTTTTATCTTTGCCTTTTCTAGTTCCTATCTCTTTTAGAAAGTGTTTTGGGTGCTTTCTGATGTCTAGCTCATTTCAGAAACCAAACCAGGGAATTAATGTGTGAATGGCAATGTGTGAATGGCAAGCACACATATGTAATAATTTATCAGGTCTACATCGATTGAATTCAGATTTTCTGAAAGTCTACAGAGAAAATGAATGGCCAGGGAAAACTTAACATGTGCAATATCATAGAAACCGAAAATGTACCCCAAATGGTGATTAACAAAAACTCCATAGTTATCCATTCCACTTATCTCTAGTTACCCATTACCCAGAGTCATCCCTGTTGTCTTACATGCCAATTCTAAAAACACTCTTGTTTTCCATTTGGGAGTGCAGCAATTTACAGGAAGCAGACCCACTAAAGAATGCAGTTTGCATTCCTAAGCAAAGCTCTGAAGGTGAAAGGACAAGAGAGCATCTTCAAGAAAACTGTCACAAAATATGAAGGCAAAGACACATTTCTCAAACTTGTAGAAGTCTGTTCTGATTGTACACATTATGATTACAACGTATACATATTGTGCTCCTGTTGGTATTAATGGAAATGTTTATTAATTCCTACAGAAGACAGTCAAACTCTCCCTAACAGGGTCCTCACCTCCATTGCCAGGGTTCAGATCTCGCTATGTTAGTGAGCGCTGATACTATGCGGTTGTCATTTTGAACTTTATTCTCAAGAAGCCTGTTAGTAGTGCTTTTGGGGCTCTGCATCTACTCTGGTCCACCAAGGTGACAAAGGTCAATTTGTTGCGAACTCTCAAAAGGGATGGGATGGCCTGGATTGATGTGAGATGGTAGAGTGGGACTGGATGGGATCATTTCTCCTTGCATAGAACAGAGCTATTTTCTCCTGGTCTGTTCCTTGTGCCCATGAGGACTGTAGGAGCTGTGAACTCCCCACTCCTTCCTCATGATCTTCAGTATTAGGGCTGTATAAAATGGTTTAGAGATGACTATCATATTGTGTTAGTGGCTAATGAAAGGATCTGTGTGCAACTGCTTGTTAAAAATCACATAACACCCAAAGAGTCATTTTGAAATGATTCCGTTGTGCCTAGCTTCTATGCCAATGGTGCCTCAGTCTAGAGCACTATAGGATTTATTACACAACACTGCAGAATCCTCTAGCTTTACTGAACTCATCCTCTGGCAACATGGGAACATTGAATGCTTTAAGTTGTATAGATAACTTTTTCAGGGAGGAATTGTTTCATTGTACTTTACAAGTTATACATTTTAAGTATTTTACAATTTTTAAATAATACATGTTAAGCAAGGAACAAAACTGCCCAGTCTGGCTAGTTTCAAATATTGAAAAAGAAACTTTTTAAATATTTCAGCTGCTATTATTAGGGTAGAAATAGAGAAATGACAGGGCCAGCATTTGGCCACAGTGGCAACCAACTAGGACTTGAGAAAGTAGGACTGTTTTGATGCTACAAAGACATAAAACAGAAAGCACCATGTTAAACCTTAACACACTCAGAAAATTTCCAGCCACATCTTTCAGTCATTCATCTTTCATAGTCACAACAGAAAAACACATTTTTTCAGATTAGAAAATGTTGATAATTTTTGTAGAAAACCTACCAATATTTGAAGCAGGTGCCATGCACAGTATTGGCCCTGTACACCATGCAGAAAAGCGTGGAAAGTAAAGAAAAGAGATATTTGATTATTAAGGATTTACTGATAGAAATACATTTTAACAGAAAGATTATTTCTTTGCAATATCAATTACTCAGCACATGCAAGTCCAACAATCTCTCATGTTTACAATTACAGATTAGCTTTAAGGTCACAAACCCAGCTAATCAAAATAATTCTTGGATTCTTACGTACAAAATGAGCTATAATTTTTCTTTAAAAGAATTAACTCACTTAAATTACATATTTACTGTGGACAAATACATTCTAAATAATTTTTATAATAAGAAGGAGAATTTTAATTTATTACACATATCATTTTCTAAATATGCTCCAGAGTCTTGTATCTGGTGTCTGTATTTCTATTTAGAGTATTAATCTGTTAACACTGTCTCCTCCACTGTCTCACAGTCAATAGGCCTCAACTATGAATATATGGCAAACAGGTTCCATTAAGAGAAACCTCTTAGCTGGACAGGCTTTTATGTTGCTACTAATCAAGGGGAAAGGAATTTTTCTGAAATTTTTGCTTATGAAACTAGATTTCATGTTGGCCAAATCTTGCAAAAAATTTAAACTTGGAAACAAAGTAACTGTAGTATTAAGAAAACCTAAGATGAACAGCATAAATTTTATTATATTCAACCACCTTGACTAGACTTCCAGGGCTACTGAATTCATTCCATAGCTATAATATAAATTGGAAGTAGCCAAGGTAGAGTGATCTAATGTGTAGGTAAATTACCACAATTTTTGAAGAAAAAAAATGCTAGGAATAAAGTCATGTCAACTCATACTGGTTTTCTCTTTTACTCTGTAGACATTATGTGTTTTCTTCTTAGGTTGGGAGAAAATATCTAAATTATTAGATATCAGTGGTTACTTATCATAAGGGATGTAAGAAAGTGCTGAAGAATTCCATATTTCCTCTCAGAAAATATCATATAAATGTATACAAATTGTATAATTTAAATGATGGCATGAAGGACTACTGTGGCTAGTAATTAAAGACTGGTGTTTTATGGTACCTTTCAAAATTAATTAACTGATTAATTTACTAATTAACCAATAAGTTTTCTGAAGTCTGGGTATTAACAAGGATTTCTAAATTTTTTTTAAACATATGTTATTTTCATTTAAAAATAGTTTCCAATCTTGGGCATTTAGCATTCTGTCAAAAAAAAGAAAAAAAGAAAAAAGAAAAAAAAATGCTGTACTCTCAATGGTTAGAATTTTCAATTTATTCTTAAGAAACTATATGCTCATTCTTAAACTACTAAACCACTGGAAGAAAATTATTTTCCCCCCCAGTATATGATATCTAATTGAACAAATTTCTGGCTTAACATTTTCTATTCAACTTGGTGTAAAACAGGCTATTAAATATAGCTGAATGTAGGAGATAACAAAATACGCTGCAAAATGTCAGAAAAGATAAACTGCTATGTATTTTATATTAACTGATTCAAGAGTTACAGGCTAAAACTATCTGTTTAATCTATATTATACTATATTATGCATTTAAGGGTAGTTTTATTTTAACTACCTTTGGCATATCAAAGATATATTGACAACGCATTTCCATAATATCAAAGCTGGGAGTTTTTTCCTTTTTTATTTTTTTTTGACAACACTCTATTGTCTGTGACAGTGATACCTGAGAGTCAAGGAATTAGTTTGAGACTGAACCAAGTGAATTAATCATAAGCAAAAACCAAGAAATGCTAAAAAGAAAAATGTTGATACCTTTTCCTAGTTTGATTTCAAACCATGAATTTTCATGACTTATAGAAAAACAAGTAGTTCTAGATACTAGCAGATAAGCATAACTTCCTTGTTTTATTTTTAATCAAAATACATGTCCTCCTATAAAAGCTCTTTGAAAGCTGCTTTGCATTGTATACATTCACAACATCACCAAACTCGCTGCAGTGCCCAGAGCTGTGTTCTCACCTGCAGGGATAAATGCCGGCTGTGGGAGCTGCAGGTTAGTCAGAGCCTGTTGGCAGTGGAAAACAGTGGGATTAAAGACCGGGGTGGCACCATTGGGCTTTTCCAGTGCTGATCTCTTTGGTATCAGTTGCAGTGTACCAGGCTGCAGGGCCTGTGGGGGGAGAGATGGTACTAGTACTAGAGAAAGTAACCAATGTACTCAAAGCAAGCAAGCACCAGTTATATAAGGTATTTCCTGGGAATCCTCTGTAAGGGTATCCATTGGGCAAGACACTGGATAAGCAGTGGCCCCACAGCAAGGTAACCAACTGCAGAGATAAGGGGGTTCACGGCTGTGTGCAGTGGCTCATGCCTGTAATCCCAGCACTTTGGGAGGCTGAGACCAGCAGATTGTTTGAGCTTAGGAGTTTGAGACCAGCCTGGGCAATATGGCAAAACCCCATCTCTAAAAAAATAGAAAAATTAGCCAGGCATAGTGGTGCATGCCTGTGGTCCCAGCTACTTGGGAGGCTGAGGTGGGAGGATTGCTTGAGGCCAGGAGGTCAAGACTGCAGTAGCTGAGACCACACCACTGCACTCCAGCCTGAGTGACAGAGCAAGAGACTGTCTCAAGAAAAAGAAAAAAGGTAGTCCACTACATGAGCAGTAGTCCAAAACAGAAAAAAACGCAAAAAAAAAAAAAAAAAGGTTTTCAACTTCACTAATTTAGACCTCATTTGGGCAGGATGTGACAGAAAGCTACTACAGTAAACAATCATTTATAATTAATATCTCAGGGATACTCATCTGTGAATCTATAAAAATGAGATTAGCAGAAGCAACAGATAGCAGGAAAGAGATTCCTGCCTGTTAAAACTCCGATACAGATCTAGGACATAAATGGCATATAGGTGATAAAGCAGATGTTGGTAGATCAGCGTCTGACACTGTCACCCCATAAAATAAAATCCAATTTATACAAAGACTTCAGGTTCAAATCCAATAACTATATATTTCCTAACAGGTAAGGAAAAAGCAAATGAATATTTCCTCCCCCACCACCTACCTCACCCAGGTACTATGTAGATAGCTAGCAAAATATACTCAGTTCCTATTTATAGAGGCTTGCTGTGCATTTCGGTATGTACCATTTGCTTTGTTAAGTTCTTGTAAGGTTTAATTCTAAAATCTATTAGCATTTTTAAACCATCCTTTCATGTCTACAGTTCTTTCAAAATCCCACTGTGCTTACAATACTCAGTCAAACTTGCCCCTGGATCAGATTCTTTGGAGAAGTTTAACACTACTTTACATTTTTTTTCTCAGTAAATTGCATGTTACTTAAAAAACATGTCCCAGCAACAACAATTAGGTATCCTCCAAATTCTTAAGGAAACAGGAATGCTTGTGTTGAGTAACTATCCTACCATGTGTCCAAAAGGGTAATGCCATGACCTCGTTCCTGTGGATAACAAAGGTCTCAAGGTATCTCTATTTTCTTTTGGGAACTCTACTGTCAGTACACACATTGTGACAGAGCTGCTTTTCATTTCACCTAAATAAAGAAAAGCATGCTAGAAGAGTGAGATAAAATAAACTGAGTAGCTTTAGAGATACAAAATTTCCAAATTTATCCCAGCAGACCAGATGGCAAAGGTCAGGACTAAAATCATAAACCATAAAACAAAATCTATCATTTCGAATGCCTTTTATCACCATTGGGAGAAAATGGTTTTGCTGAACATTTTAACTAAGACAGAAGACTTACTTATCTGGTTGTTAAAAAGATTTCCCTTTGGTATAAATGGGGAGTGTCCCTTTCTCTTGAAAGCTGGCAGCATGGTATGATCATCAGAACCACAGTTATGTTCCCTAGTAAACTATAAATTGGGGTGAAACCTAGATGAACATTCAACAGGCAGACGCTGGTAAAGTAGTACTGCTTGTTTATGGCTGGGGTTTATCCTGATGAGTCAGTGCCCAGTTCCAATTGGGTGGTGATTGTACTACTAAATTCATAAACCTACTGAAGAAGTGTGAGACTGTGGATGAACTAAGTATCAACCCTTTATGTCTTTTTTTTTTTTTTTTAATTACAAGCTGCTTTCTGTGAACTTAACCTGAGCTATATACATGAACAAGGTAAAAATGTCTCTTTTACAAAGCATGTCCACTATGAATCCTTAAAAATATAAAATGCTTGAATTTCTTCATGAAGCCCTTCTTTATTTAATCTTACCTCTATCAAATTCGTATGGGCCAACTTTATCTCACTGCTAAGACCCTGCTGTGATCAGTTACTTAAAAGGGAATTTTATACTGATATTCACAAGTAACAATTGAAGGCCTACGATATAATATTTAGCTCTCTAAATGGAAATTTGAGGCTGACTTATAACCTATGCATTCTATCAAACACACTCAAATAATCATAAATGGACAGATGCATATGAAGTTATTTTCATAGCTTATAATTCTCCCATTCAAGAGCATTTAAGACAAAAAGAATTTGGTAAAGTCTTTTTTAACATTAATTTACAGATTATGTTGTTCAGATCAAGGGAGAAAGTAAGTTTTTTCTTCTTTGGTGCTCAGATCTTTCATGATGTAATGAGTTCAGCTCTGAAAAAAAGTGGAGCCAGTCCAAAAATGGTACTGTGTCCTTGAAACCACAAACTACTAGGAAAAGTGGGAGAAATCTGCAGTATTTGGCTTAGAGAGGAGACATGACAGTCCTTCTCACTTGGAATAGGGACTGACTTCTTTCATGAAGTTCCAGTTGCAGCAAGATAAATTTCAACTCAGTATGAAGAAAACCTTCTTAATAGGGATGTTTGAAAATAAGTGTCTCTGTGTTGTGAATAGGCAAAGTCCATGGGAGTCCAAACTATGAATGTTTGTGAGGAGATTTAGCTACAGTGCATCTCCTGGGCTTCAGGGTCACATCAGTGCTTTTTCCACACCCAGGGAACATGAGGTTTCCTGTGGGTTTTGTCCTTTATTGGAGCTGTTATGCCTTATTATACAAGGAAAGGTCCAGGTAGAAAAAGAAAGACATAGCAAGCAGCACATCAAAACAATGGACAGCTGTGGCAAACTTAAGTCATAAGAATTCCTGGTTCTCACTGATCGCACTATAGTGTTACACAAATATTTTTCTTACTTCCTACCTTTCAGTGTTACTAAGCAGCACTAACTATTCCCCCAAACTGGCTTTCTACAGCAACTTAAAAGTCAGGCCTCTGGGCTGTGCATGGTGGCTCATGCCTATAATCCCAGCACTTTGGGAGGCTGAGGCAGGAGGATCACCTGAGATCAGGAGTTCAAGACCAGCCTGGCCAACATGATGAAACCCGGTCTCTATAAAAAATACAAAAATTAGCCAGAAGTAGTGTACGCCTCTAGTCCCAGCTACTCAGGAGGCTAAGGCTAGAGAATTGCTTGAACCTGGGAGGTGGAGGTTACAGTGAGCTGAGATCACACCACTGCATTCTAGCCTGGGCAACAGAGTGAGACTCTGTCTCAAAACAAACAACAACAAAAAAAACACACAACCGGCCCCCCCACCAAACAACAACAACAACAACAACAACAACAAAATACCAAAGTCAGGCCTCTGCTCCCAACCAAGTAGAAATTTTTCCCCAGACTAAGCAGGCTGCTGTCCTTGATACTATGCCTCTAGAGAGGAAAAGTGGCCTTAACCTTTAGGAAATTACAGCCTACTTAATATCCTATCTTTTAAGTGCTCTGTTTTTGAAAGGCATTAAGGATGTTAGTAGCAAAGTGCCCATGAAAGTGGCTCACAGAGCAGAGGCAACTTTCTGCCTCGCTAGGATATTGAGGGTAGTGAAACTATAAAAGCACTAAAAGATAACTTACTGTTTAAATTATATAGTTTACCCTTACTCTGAAAATCGGAGAAAGAGCACAGTAGGTTAAAAGCATTAGTAAGGCTTTTAAATAATTATCTTTAGAAAATCTTAGTAAATAAAGTAGAATAAATAGGTTCTTTCTTTTCCAGCTTATAACCTTGACTGTTCATATTAAGGTCTACTCATGACTATCCATGATTATGGTTACAGGATATTAGACAAATTGAGGAATATACAAAGCATTTACTCTGAAACAGGCCAGAAGTACAGGCCTTTTCTTACCATGGCAGAGGCAGCTGAATGGTTCATCTGGTGATGAGCTGCCTTGAGTTTGGCTTGCAAGTGTGCAGGAGGATGAAAGTACTTGCATTTCTCCCGCGAGCATCGACCTTTGATGTAATCCATGCAGATTGTCACAGTATTATCACTCGCTTCAATCATGGAAGCATCAGTAGGGTGAGCATAGCGGCAATCATTCTCCCCACGGGTACAATTTCCACGCTGAAATTCTCGGCAAACCTTAGAACACACACATGCACATACACACGCATCACACTGATGACTGGAAGCTGACTGGCTTTTATTTATTTTGCTAGCGAATGTAACAGTAATTATACATACATTGAATATATTATTTATGAACAAATCTAAAAAGATAAAGAATAATGTAAAGCCATATTCACTATGACATATAAACAGACAGAATTTCTATTCCCAGAAAAAAATTCTATTCTCCACAAAGGAAGGTTGTCCTTCTATTAAAATAAAAATGCTTAAAAAATGTATTACTGAAAACCAGTTTTAATTCTCCAATTAATACATAGCCCTAAGCATAATTAGTGTTTATTTAAGTCCAAGATGAGTCTTTATCACAATGTAACGCACTGGTTTTCCAAAGTCAACTTGTGAACCATAACTGAGTTATATGTACAATCAGATTCTATTACAATACATTACTAGGCATTTAAGGGGCTGCAAATGGAGCTGACTTGATAAGAAAAAGACTAGCTATTTCAATGTACAAAGAATAACAAGAGAAGAATGAAGGACTTCAATAAATCAAAAAGTTGTTTGAAATTTCTTTCAGATTTTCTTTTCTTAGGCATCGGGGGTATTTATTGCCTAGCACATCACTCTCAAAATGGAGAAAAAAGTTGAGGCACTATGAGACTAATTTACTTTCTTTATTCATATAGCTTTACATTCTGCAATCATAGAGAGTTATATTGTCTACTTTTTTCCCACTTTGATTATTCTAGCAAGTAGAGACTCATTAACAAATACAATAATCTGTTTCTGAAAGCTGGAGCCTAGGTAAAAGGAACATTCCCACAGAGGCTTCCTGAGCCATCACACAGTCTATGGCTGGGTACACTTAACATATTGTTTGACCCACCATACAGCTGAATCAATGCACTTTATAACAAGGTATGATTGCAGTAGTAAAATGTTTAAGATTTTTCTGAGGTTATACCCTATAAGCTAAGAAATTTGGGTTCTCTTATTTAAAACACAACGAATTGGGCTCTGAGAATACTGCTTTATGTGTAAGGTTAATATCTATTCTACAGGTATTTATATATATCTTCACAAATACCTCCAGTTTATCTGAACGCATCAGTTTTGGGCCAACAGCTCCTGGCATTGCAAGAGGTGGGTTTCCAGGAATCAGAACAGGTGTATTTGGTACAAGTTCTGCAGGAACGAGGCTCATCCCAGGATGTGGTATGTAAGGATTGAAAGCCATGGGAGGATTAGCTGGAAGTGATGGAGTCATAGGAAAAGAACCCTGTATGTTTAAAAGAGAAAAAAAAGATGTTAGAGGTAAACAGATTCTTCCTGTCATTACACAAAGAGGCATTCTTTCAGAAACATCAAAATTACTTACGCCACATCAAAATTTACCATTGTTTCTTCTGATTTATTTTTAGCCTCTTACTAATTCCCATAGAGGAGTTGCTTTTAAACCAACAAATCTCTTTAAGTAATAACTTTATTGGTAAGCTGATAAAATAAGCCACATGACTTTAACAGTCACGAATTAGCCAAATTAAATCTCATTGCTAGAGTCTGCTCCAAATGTGTTTCCTCCAACTCTTTTTTCCCTAAAAACCATGTCACCAATGACAATACACATATGGACAATCTTCTTTGTTTCCTTACACAGACATGGCCTTTGCATTCAGTCCCTTTCCTTCCTCCTTCCTCTTCCCCGTCAATACTGCTTGGCTGTAAGGCTGTCTGTCCTACCACAGGCCCCACCTGTACTACCAAATACTGACTGTGCTTCTGTCTTCCTGGCCTGCTGACAGTTATGGAACACAGCAAGGAGTTGAAGAAGAAAGGGATAAATTAGAAAAAGTGAATGCTTTAATAGCTACCTAAAATGAGTTTACTACGGTCCATTATATTTTGTTATTTTTTAAAATTAGAGGTCCTGTTTTGTTTAATTTTTTAATTTTTATGTGTACATAGTAGGTATCTATATTTATGGGGTACCTGAGATATTTTGATACAGGCATACTATATGTAACCATCACATCAGGGTAAATGGAGTATCTATCACCTCAAGCATTTATCATTCCTTTGTGTTACAAACACTCTAATTATACTCTTTTAGTTATTTTTAAGTGTACAAGAAATTATTGTTTACTGTAGTCATCCTAGAGGTCCTGTTTCACAAGCTAATCTGACTTGCCTAGCCTTGTCTTTATCTAGGGGGCCAGATGATATTCATAGTTCAAAAGAAGGCACTAGAAATGCTACAAGAATCCCTGTTAGGCAGGAAGAGATAAGATAACAGGATTATATGGTATACAAACTAAGTGTAACTTGTAAAAAATTTAAAAAGCCTCAGAAATGCAAAAAGCTATTACTGTTTTTTCTATTTTCAAAGATCCTGGGACTCAAAAAGTTTGATATGTGTATTTCCTTTATTATCTGTCACATTATTTATCACTTTGCTGTTTCCCAGTTTGTTCCACATGTGGGTATCTTTTCTTGTCAATGTGGTCTTATTCCTTTGATAGTTCTCATCTCCCCTATAGTACCCAACACTTAGTGAATGACTGGTTGACAGATATACTCAATGATACATTTTAAAAGCTTAATGAATGAATAACAAATCATGACTAAATGTAGTATATTTCTAAAAATGACTCTATAAGGTAGTTATTGTGAAACTGGTGGTGTTTCACTGTGTATTACTAATTACATGTGTTCCTTTTTGCCTTATACAATTTTTTCATGTTAAAAAGAACCCGAATCTGTTGCATTTGCCAAACTGTGCCCATACCTGCTAAGTCACATTAATAGAAACAAGTCTAAATACAAATTGTGGAATATAAAGTGAGGGGCAATGTATACTCTTTGCCTCACCCCCACACAGACTTGAAATTGTCACCCGCACAGCATTCCAAGAAGACCCTGTTATAAACCATATTCAGCTTAGAAGGAAGCACTCCCCCATTAGCATTCTACCTTAGATGAGTTTATCAAATTAGCTGATTGGGACATTAGGAAGAGCAGGAAGAATCTGGCGCCAAAAAACTGGCAAGACGCATGAGGGTGAGTAGAAAAGGCATGGTTGCTAAGAGCCTTAAGTGGAAAGGGAACGCCAGGTGCCAGGAAAGATGATGGCATAGTCAGGAGAAGGACTCTAAAGTCTGGGGGCAAATAGCCAAGGGCTGACCCAGTCTAACTAGGTCTTATGATATAATAGAATACAGGAATATGGGATACCTGTCATGGAATGAGATGTGAAGCTCAGGAACTAGCTGATGTGACATTATCTTATATAATGAGAAGGAAATCTTCTGGAAACAGCCACCCAGGCATGCTTCAGCAATAAGGCAGACTTTATCGATGTAATGATTCATAGTTGTCTCAAGATCACCAAGAAATCTCTGAGAAAAACTCCATTTTTGAAGCACATGATAGTGCTCTTCACTTGACTTTTTGTTTTCTCTGACTTTACTGGTAAATTTCTCACTGAAGCCACCAGCCCATTCTCCTGCATGCTTTTTGCTTTTGCCTTTTACAAAAATGAGCAGGACCATTATTGCATCTATTAATTTTTGAACTGAAAGAAAGACCTGGAGGTGGGTGAATTTTCCAGATTAAAAAGTTATTAATCACTAATAAATGCTGATCAATTAATAATATTAAAGCCTAATGTATGTGTAAGCAATGCTTTCTGTTTATGGTAGCTTTTTACTTCCGTAATTTTTTCTTTTCTTTTTTGGGGTGACTCGCCAGGGAAATTCTCCTAGCTAAATTCTACTTTCTTTGGATTACTTTTAAGCTTTCTTAGGTTTGTTATATGCTCCAAGTGTATGGGAAAAAAGCTATAAATTAATGATTAGTCTACATATAAAATGTAAAGGGCTTGCTGCAAGTATTTAGATTTTTCTAAGGTTTCATCACAAACTATGCTATCTTTAGATCTTAAAACTAGTATCCTAGCGCTTATAACTATTTCCTCCTTGAGTATGAAATGCATTCTATAACACTGTTTATTGAGAAGAAGCAAGCTATTCCATTGTCAATACTGGGGCAGAGGCAGGAAATCCTGAGTGGCTTATTTATTTTCAGTTGGACATTTCTGTTTTCTCACCACCACCTCTGCCCCAGGGTAACTACTCCATTTCATGAATTTGAACATTCAAGGGCTTAGCATTGACTAACAGCCATGGGTTAAGTCAAGTAGCCTGCAAGCTCACGAGCTCAGCTTTAATAAACAACTTTAATCCTGTCTCTACATATATCTCAGCCCTTGATGTCAGTTGAGCTAACATGAACCTATCTGTGGGTTAATTTTTATTGTAAAGGAAAAGGTTTTAAATACGCTGACTCTGATTTATCTTTACAGCTTGAAATAGTCTGAACACTCAAATGTTTCAGATATTTAAATTCCAACCTAAATTATTTACTAAACACTTGAAAAGAGACGGCTGTCCCTCCCATAACCAGGTGTAAATTTTCATCTTTCTGAGTCTTGTCAACCAGCAAGAATGGTGGCGACAATAGGCTTTATGAATAAGATCACCTGAGAACTATTTATCCCGATGTCTCTAGAAGTATTAGCTCCTACAGTAGAAATTCCCATGAGTTCCCAGTGACTTGCAGAGTGCTTAGGAACTATCGGGCATTCAGGAAATGTGTCCTAAAAATTAATGAAATATCTAGAGAACAGTGGCTTCTAATCTTTTTTGAGTCCAGGACTTCTCCAAGAGTCAGATGAAGACTGCAGGCTCTGTCCACAGAAAAATTCATGTATGCAAAAAATGTTGCTTGTGATCTCAGCAAGTTCAAGAACCCCATGACACTCACCCCTGGTGTGGGGTTATGAACTACTTACTGGTTAAGAATCTCTGTTCTAGAGTAAGACTCTGCAAACTAGGGCCCATAGGCCAAATTCAGCCTGCCCGTGTTTCTGTATGACCAGCAATCTAAGAATGTTTTTTACAGTTTTAAATGATTGAAAAAAATAAGAAAATAATATTTAGTGAAACATGAAAATTATAGGAAACTCTCATTCCAGTGTCCATCTACAAATTTCATTGTGCTCATTAGTAGACCTGTATTACAAAAAATTGTAGATACTTGTTTCCTCTCTTGTTATATAAGTACCTATATAATACCCTCAACTTTGCCTCTTGAACCTCACAGCCTAAAATATTCATATTTAGCCATTCACAAGAAAGTTCACTGACCTTGGTTCTAAATGATTTCAAAAAATGAAATTCTCCAACACTTTCAGGAGTAAAGCACCAAATATATACATATATAGACGTGAATTTAGTATTTGTAGCAAGATTCCACAAACTGAAAATGTTTGGCTTTGTAAACCAATACTAAGGTATTCACTAAAATGCTCTTTTACATAGTTACTAACATTAGGATTTTTAACTATTTGTTTCTAGAATAATCACTACTCAGTGACTAAGAATGAGGAAATAGCACTTGGAATCCTGTAAAGGTAAAAATTTTAAGAGCCACCACAGATTGCTCTTAAAGGATTCTGAGGCAATGCAATTCAATGCAAAACTATACCTCAAATAAATGTCTAGTTTACACACACTTTAGGAACAATGACTTAACAGGTTATTTCTCAAGCTAGTATAAAGAAATGAAAATTAAATGTTATGCCGAATCAATCTTTGTGTCTCCTCAATAGCCTAGATCTATTTGTAGTTACCTCAAAAATATCCAAGATCAGTTACAATTATTGTTGGATGAATGTAAAAATTTCAAAATCCTGGCCTAAGGTCAACAGAATAATCGGGGCCTTCCATCTCTGAGTTTCTGTCTGGAGTTGAATGACTAGATATTTTCTTTTACAGAAGGGTAAACATTTGGTAACCATTTGTTGACCCAATTTTAATACAAGAAAAATAGCACTCTTAAATTTTAATAGCATCATAATATCTGCATTTTATTGCTCATTTGCAAGCATTTATATAATGTAAAAGGAAGCTCCTTTTACGGTCATCATGCATATTTCTATCTTTAGATAATCCCAAAATGCACTGAAATATATAATGTTAGTTTCCATCCGACTTCATTTTCACACAGAGTACAATTGAATAATCTCTCTTTCACAGTATTTGCTTGGTCATTTCCACACTGCTTGAGTAATGTTCCATGGGGACTGAAGTGGCCAAAATGCAGGCTGCAGGAGACCCACATAACCTCCAGACTAGTTAATTGGTTTCTCAATAATTGAGAGTTAACTTTATAAACAGATGCAAGCTGATAGCGGTGGTATTTAAGTACTAATTGTACTTG